CTCGTCGTTCCCGTGGGGCTTGATGGTCAGCGTGTCTCCGGAGATCTCCACGGCCTTCTGGTCGCCGTCGTGCATGTCGGCGAAGATCGCCGTCGCCCCGTCGAGGCGCTCGCACGTCGACTTGCCGCCGACGGCGCCGACCGCCAGGGTCGTCGCGACAGCGATCGCGCGGAAGAGTCGCAAAGCCATCGAGGTTTTCGGGCACACCCACACGCGACAGGACGGCGGTCGAGGCTGGGCAGAACTTGGGTGAATTACCAAGTGTGATGTTTCCCCTGCATGATGCAGCCGCGCTAAAAACACAGCATGGAGAGACCATAATGCTGCCCAAACGGAGAGTGTGATGCTCACATTATAAACATGCGCGGCGTGCGCCCGTGGCTGGCGTTTGCGATCACGGCGGCGCTCCTCGGCGCGGCGGCGAGCTGGCGCAACGGCACGATCTCGCGCAACACCACGACCACCAAAACGACGGCGAAGCTCGTGCTTCTGTCGGCGCCGCGGTCCGGCAGCACGCTGCTCGTGGAGATGCTGCGCGCGCCCGCGTCCGACGCGTGCCCGTCGGAGACCGCGACCCCCGTAGGCGGACCCACGACGACGTGCTCATGCACGGCGAGCCGTTCCACGCGGGGCAGGAAAAGGGCGATTCAACGTCGCTTCAACGTGAGTGTTCCGCGCGCACGCGTTCCGGAAAGAGCATCTCCGCTTCGAGAGCGCTCCGAGAGATGATCGCTCGTCCCAAAATCAGCCGAAACGAGTGGAAAACGACCGAGATATGAGCCTCCAAAGTTGGGAATTTCGCACCCTTTTCCTGCCCAGGTTCCACGCGTCGGACCTCCGCGCGTCGGCCAAGGACGGCTTCGCGGGCAACGTGAGCGTGCGCGACGACGTCTTCGGCCGGCGGCGGAGCCGCCCCGGCGAGCTGCTCGACGCCATCGCGGCCACGGCGTCGACGCGCGCGCCCGTCGTCGGCTTCAAGCTCTTCAGCAAGCACCTCGAGTGGGAGAACCTGCCCGTGTTTTTGGAGTGGGCGACGCACGTCGTCCTGCTCCAGCGCTCGAACGCGCTCGAGCAGTACATCTCCATCTGCCTCGCGCAAAAGTCCAACGTCTGGGCGACCTACGCCGACAGCGCGCGCGTCAAGGTCCGCGAGCTCGACGTCGCGATCTCGCCGGAGCTCTTCGAGGCGTGGCGGGACCACGAGGCCGCGTTCGCGGCCTACGCGCGGCGCGCCGTCGCGAGCCTCGACGCGGACGACCGGCCGGCGCTGCTCGAGCTCTGGTACGAGGCGGACCTGTGCGCGCCGGAGCGGCGGCGCGGCGCGCTCGCCAAGGTCGAGCGGTTCCTCGGCGTGCCCGGCGGCCGGTTCCGCCACGACGCGCCCCACCTCCCCGTGAAGCAGCACGCGCACAACGTCTTCGAGTCCGTGTCCAACTGGGCCGCCGTCGCCAACTCGACCGCGGGCGCGCCCTACGCGACGGCGACGTCGTGCTCTTCGAGGCGCCGGCTCGCCGACGACACCGCCGACGCCGCGGCCGCGCGGAAGAAGCACCTCAAGGAGCTCCAGGGCCACCACTGCAAGGAGGGCGGGCCGGGCTGGCTCTAAGAAGGACGTGTGTTCTCTTATCGCGGCCCGCCGGGCCCGCGCTTCGTGGCGCGCGCGAACGCGGCGTCGTCGTCGTAGTCGGCGTCGTACTCGTTCGGGAGCACGGGCAGCAGCGCCGC